GATAATCTCCAAGAAAGCTGATACCATATTGACAGAGTGTACTGTGTAAATGTTGAACATACATACATAATATATGTGATTAACCTATTATAATATAAACCAGCTCTTGGGGAAAAATTACAGTACCTTTTTGTGTTGACAAAATTAAGGGAGGGGCAGGAAAAATACAGTGCCATCTTAATTACCAACAGAGTTTTTCCAGTGTTTGATTTTGTGGAATATAGTACTGTACCTGTTTGTGTTGACAAAATTAAGGGAGGGGCAAGAAAAATACAGTGCCATCTTAATTACCAAGAGAGTTTTTCCAGTGTTTGATTTTGTGGATCAAAATCCACTTCTGCAGGCAAAGAAATGAAATTTCATCTACAAAACATTACACTGAAATACTGTGGTCTTTAAGGTGCCAATAGTATGTACTTATTTCTTTTTCCCTTTTTCCCTTTTAATTTTGCCAGCATGCAAGGACAGACTAACAGAGATACTTCAGAAACAGTACATTCCTGGTTTGGCATACGCTGGTCATGTACCCCAGAACTCATATGTCAAGTGGGCCTGAGGTTCAGCCATCTTTTGCTTTCTTCAAATTTTACAAAACTGTTTCTACAAAAATAAGACCTAACCTGAAAATAAGCCCCAGTTAAGTGAAACCCTGCCCTCCACCCTTGTGCAGCAACCAGAAGAAGGTGACGTGGCTGTATTTGAATCAATGTCAATGGTTAAGTATATGAAAAAAATAAAACATCCCCTGAAAATAAGCCCTAATGCATTTTTGGAGCAAAAATGAATATAAGACCCTGTCTTATTTTCGGGGAAACACAGTATTTTGGAATATACATGTTTTGGTCTTCAGTATCTTCTCTTTTGTTGTAATTAATGTATAACTTAATAAAATTATTAAAAGAATTTTAAAATGCTGCAGTGAATCACTGAGCAAGTACATGATGTATTTAACCTCATCTCTGCAAAAACTAAATTAATCTTTCTACGTCATAATAGTCATGTTGGACTGTGCAAGTCTATTCAAGTTAAGACAAAATACTCAAAAGTATGTACAGCTGTCATCTTTAAATTAGCAGTAACATTAAAACAGGCGGACGCATTAGGGCCAAAAAAAACCCCACCTTTCATACATAGCTTCCAGTTGACATACAGATAAATAAACACAATTATATAGATATAGATGGTGCCATCCAATGACAGTCTTAAGCATTTAGGCATGGAGTTCTAATTCAGAATTTCTGGATACTGCTGGAATTTAGTGTGCTGCAGTGAACTAGAAAGGGTTCATGATGGTTCCATGTTTGAATTGTGTATCTGTAATGAATTGATCTAAATCAGCCCTTGCTAAGGTTCTTGTTACTTTTAAAGTAAACAATCACATAACATTTCTACCATGGTAATTTTGGCAATTATGTTGCTATAACACACAGTAAAGGCCAAAATCCTGTTGCTTAGCATAGTAAGTTGCACTAGAGTTGTTGTTATTTAGTCATTAAGTCGTGTCCAACTCTTTGTGACCCCATGGACCGGAGCACACCAGGCCTTCCCGTCTTTAACTGCCTCCCGGAGTTGGGTCAAATTCATGTTGGTTGCTTCAATGACACGGTCCAACCATTTCATCCTCTGTTGTCCCCTTCTCGCCCTCACACTTCCTCAACATCAAGTTCTTTTCCAAGGAGTCTTCTCTTCTCATGAGATGGCCAGAGTATTGGAGCCTCAGCTTCAGGATCTGTCCCTCCAGGGAGCACTCTGGGTGGATTTCCTTCAGAATGGATAGGTTTGTTCTCCTTGCAGTCCAGGGGACTCTCAAGAGACTCCTCCAGCACCACAATTCAGAAGCATCCATTCTTTGGCGGTCAGCCTTCTTTATGGTCCAGCTCTCGCTTCCATACATCAGTACAGGAAAAACCATAGCTTTGACTATGTGGACCTTTGTCAGCAAGGTGATGTCTCTGCTTTTTAAGATGCTATCTAGGTTTGTCATTGCTTTCCTCCCCAGAAGCAGGCATCTTTTAATTTCATGCACTAGAGTAGCCCCACTGAATCATTGATTGAAATGGACCCTGCTGCAACTGCTAGTTACTTCAGCATAGTAACTTGCATTTATATTAAGCCCATTTGAATATGTGGAACTTATGGAGGATTTGATCATTCAGATGAGGAGGCGGGACGGGTATGCTCCCTTTGCAGCCATTGAGTGGTCGGCTGCTGGAGCACTAGAGTAGCCCCACTGAATCATTGATTGAAATGGACCCTGCTGCAACTGCTAGTTACTTCAGCATAGTAACTTGCATTTATATTAAGCCCATTTGAATATGTGGAACTTATGGAGGATTTGATCATTCAGATGAGGAGGCGGGACGGGTATGCTCCCTTTGCAGCCATTGAGTGGTCGGCTGCTGGAGGCCTGCTAGTTACTTCAGCATAGTAACTTCCATTTATATTAAGCCTATTTGAATCTGTGGAACTTATGGAGGATTTGACCATTCAGACGAGGAGGCGGGACAGGGATGCTCCCTTTGCAGCCAGTGAGTGGTCGGCTGCTGGCGGAGGCAGGGAAGAGCATCCCGAACTGCTGTCTGGACTGCCTCCAGAGAAGGAGGACACCGGTGGTGTGCAACAGATTGTGAGTGGGCCAGCCTTGGGCAGTGGGTGGCAGGGAAAGGTTAACACGAATCAATTTGTGCCCATCTCTTGTAAGGGCTTCACTTTATCCAAACAAAATTGTTGATGTTAAATAGTAAGGGCTGACACTCTGAAGTGCTCAGGGAATGAAAAGCAATCCAGGAGACTAATAGAGCTTCCAAAAATATACAACGTTATACAGTGGTGCCTCGCATAGCGACGATAATCGGTGCAGCAAAAATCGCTGCAAAGCGATTTTGTCGCTATGTGATATTAAAAAGCCCATAGGAATGCATTGAAACCCCTTCAGTGCATTCCTATGGGCTTCAGACTCACCTTAAAGCAAAAATCCTCCATACGGCGGCCAATTTTTGCTGCCCGGTAAGCGAGTAATCCATCCCAGAAAACAGTGGGCAGCCATTTTTTTTTACCGGGCGGCCATTTTGGAACCACCAATCAGCTGTTAAAAAATCATCACTTTGCGATGATCGGTAAGCGAAACAGGGTACCGATCATCACAAAGCGATTTTTTCCCCATAGGAAACATCGCAAAAAGTTAATCGCTATGCGATTGTTAATTGCTGTGCGATTTCTTCATTAAACGGGGCGCCCGTTAAGTGAGGCACCACTGTATCATGTTGAGACAAGGGAGGCGAACCTCCAGGAATAACTGCCGTCAAAGTTGGAAAATAAGGTTGAAACAGTCTCTTATTTCTTTTTCCCCTGCATCACTGTTAACATGTATTTACCTTTGGAAGTTCATGACCAATGACGAGATCTGGCTTCTACTAGTTTGAGTGCTAGAGAGGATGGAAAGAGTAACCTAAACAACCTGTAACAAAGCCTAGGAAGCCCTGTAAAACAAAGAACTGATGCAGCCGCTTTACATTTTTCTACAAGGATACAGTAGTCCCATTCCCTGTATCCAACCTGTAACAAAGCCTAGGAAGCCCTGTGAAACAAAGAACTGATGGAGCCGCTTTACATTTTTCTAGAAGGATACAGTAGTCCCATTCCCTGTATCCATGGAGTCAGTATCCATGGTTTCAGTTATCCGTGGCCGCTGCTGCAACCTCAGCCTTCAGTGCACCCCTGCACTTGCCTTTTCCTCTTGCCCTTTCTCTTTAATGGTTCGTTCTCTCTCTCTCTCTCTCTCTCTCTCTCTCTCTAGTATCCATGGTTTCAGTTATCCGTGGCCGCCGCTGCAGCCCCAGCCTTCAGTGCACCCCTGTGCTTGCCTTTTCCTCTTGCCCTTTCTCCCCCTTCTCTCCCCCTCGCCCATTCTCTTTAATGGTTCTCTCTCTCTCTCTGTCTCTCTCTCTCTCTCTCTCTCTCTCTCTCTCTCTCTCTCTCTCTCTCTCTCTCTCTCTCTCTCTCTCTCTCTCTCTCTCACACACACACACACACAGAGTCATGATCCTAGAACTGCACAACTGGAAGGGACCCCATGGGTCATTGGGTCCAGCCCCCGTCAAAGAGGCATCCTCGGTTTCAAGTATCCATGGTTGATCCTGGAACAGATACACACATGTACATGGAGGGACTGCTGTGCCTTGGTTTATAATATGAAGTTAGAATTTATAATTGCTCTTCTATAATGAGGTCTTTCAGCTATACTTCATTTTAAATTAAAACTTCCACAGCATTTTCGTAAGGAAAAATTTAACAATAGAACTGAGTCGGGGGGACCTATCCAAAATCTGTTGTTTATATAGTGTAAATGGCATAATTTTTGATACCAAATTAATTACTGTATTTTGAAGCCAGCAGGGAATGTTCTAACTCTAATAGAGGTCTTCAAAATCCAAAGGGCTGCATGTTATAATTAGTATATTAATTTGTGTGCGTGTGCACGCACATGACTGGGGAGTTCCTGACTGGTTCCATCTGTTGTTTGCCCAGCTTATTGGAGTGGAAACTTGCATACTCGTCAGCACGAATACCTAGTGTTTCTGATTTTGGCCTGCTGGATCTCATGAGATGTAAATAAGCGTGTGTTGAGGAGGCCTAAAAGCATAGTTGTCTCAGCTGCTTCTTCTGATAATGATGATGATCATCATCATCTTTTATTGTGATTCTGATATTGCCACTACTAATTTCCTGGTTCTAATCCCGTTCACATTCTTGCAACTTCTGTTGCAAATATATGAGCACTGAGCCTTAAATCCTGTGAACTGGCTGTACACACGTGTACTGGGAAGTAAATCGTGCAGAGATCTACAAGTATAAACTTGTTGCACCTCTGTGTCTGATTTGTAGATGTGGAAAGACTGTTCTGTTGATTCATGTTTGTGTTTTCTCAAGGCTTTGGGTAGGTATGTTAATGTTGCCCTGTGCTATATAGAGCTAACTGCCTTCGATGTCTTATGTTCCAGGTTTCCTTGGCCAGTGTGTGAATACCAGGCACAAACATGGGAAATATTTTTGCAAACCTCTTCAAAGGCCTCTTTGGCAAAAAAGAAATGCGTATACTTATGGTTGGGCTGGATGCTGCAGGAAAGACTACTATATTGTACAAACTAAAACTTGGTGAAATAGTAACTACCATCCCCACTATAGGTAAGACCCTTCCCCTGGATGTTTATATGGCTGTTATAAAACCACCTTGTGTGCAGACTGACATGGGAGTAGGTCCTCTTCAACCCAGTGCTTCTGTGAAGGAAATCTGAGGTTAGTTTGCATATAACGGATGGGAAGAAATTGCTGACCACTTGAAATAATATTTTGGTACTATATTTGGCATTCTTACTGGGTAGAGCATATTTATGGAAACATTTGTTCAAGGTGAGTCATATCTCATTGATTCTGAGGTTTAGATCAACTTATGTTGGCATTTTAAATATGAGGCACTGATTTTTTTCTATTGAATTGCCAAAAACGCCGCCAAAGCTGATTTGGGAGTTTGTGCTTTCCAAACCCTAGTACTCCTCCAGTATATCTCAGATTGCCTGAGGGCACTTGGAGAGAATGTTTTAGGAATGGTTGCATCTTTCTCTTTTTTTTCCCTAACTCACCATCTCAACCTGTGAGAGATAATTTCAGAGGATATTGTATGGTATAATAAATGCATTACGCTGACACTTTGGCCTGTGTGCTTCCAAAGGTCAGTATAATAAATGCATTACGTTGACACTTTGGCCTGTGTGCTTCCAAAGGTAATAGTTACTATTGGAGATTATTATTCTGCCATGTAACATCTTGAAACCATCCAGGGTGTAAATAGGTATCAGAAATATGCAGCAGTGTAACATCTTGAAACCATCCAGGGATCAAAGTTTTTTTTTCCATGGTGTAAATAGGTATCAGAAATATGCAGCAAAATTCAGTTTCAAAGCTGTCTTCAGCTCAGTCCTGAGGAGGTGTGTGTGGAATTGGTGTGAATTCTGTTTGTTTTGGGTGGGTGGGGGTGAATTTTGAATGCAAGTGTTAGTTTATGAAATGGGATTATAATTGTCTTGAGGTGCAGATGGGCAAATACAGCCTTCCAGCTATTGCTGGCTTGTAGCTCCCATTAGCTTTAGCCACTAGGGAAGGATCCTGAGGTGGTCCAGTAACACTTGCCAAACCATATGTTTCCCACCTAAGGGCTGGCTGGTGAGAGTCTGGTGGTTAGGTTACAATTTATAACCAAGATTATTGTCTTCTTTTTTACTTAAGCTTAGGTTAAACGGACATCACATCTTTCGAGCTGTTAACTGATCACACTCTTTCCCGCCTTTTTGTTGCAGGTTTCAATGTAGAAACAGTAGAATACAAGAACATTAGCTTCACAGTGTGGGATGTTGGTGGCCAGGATAAGATCAGGCCACTCTGGCGCCATTATTTCCAGAATACACAAGGTAAGCGCTCCAGTGTTACCCTTGTCTTTCTTAAAATTTTGGTCAGTGCACCTGCAGCTAATTCAGTTATTCGGTAATTATGATTTCAGCATTAAGTGGATCTGTCAGGTTGATGTTGATGGGACATACCTAAGCAGGCTTCTATATCTCTCAGATCTCCATCAGATGGAATATGTGACTTGTAATAGAGGTAGTATCTTGACAGCAGAGTTTTACCCGCTTAGGATAATTCACTTCAGAGCTAGGTTAACCTAAGTTATCCACACAGGGGAGCATGCTCTGGATAATAGTACTTCACAGTTTCTCTGAAACCAGGATGCCTCTTGTATTTCTTCAGATGCATAAAGGGCTAGAGTTGTGTGGCAGAGCACATGCTATACATGCAGAATTTATTCTCTGACAATTCAGGATAGAGTTAAACAGACCACTGCATAAAACTCTGCAGAACTGTTTTTAGTCAGTGTTGACAGTCTGTGGTGAGACATACCAGCGGTAGGGCTTGGTTTATGACAGCTTCCTATGTTGCTATAAGTTTTTTTGCTATATTCTGTAGAGGCACTGTCTTCAAGATGTACTACCGCATGTTCCCGAGAGGTCAAAACAGACCTCCTTGAAGTGCTTCAGACCTGCTAGTCATGTCAGGGTGGACTCTGTGAGAGTGGTCAACAACCAAAAGCAGTAGAGATGATGGTTTCTCAGCAGTCTTGCCCCCATTTCCCGCTTAACCTTTATCCACCAGACCAGTGGCCATGCTGCTAGAAGGTTAAGTAGCTCCTGTTGCACGTTAACGTAACATGACACTTGAGTCAAAAGGATTATAGTCTTCCATATAAGAATTTGCCGACCAAATTCCAGTGAGGAGTGCTGGTCCCTAGTCTTACGTTCTTGTCCGTAGCATTAGTTGTCTGTTCCCCTCTTCAAACAAAACAGGTCGTGAAAAACGTGAAGCAACTTACTAAGCAGTTGGTGGGAAAATGCCTTTTCAGTCACATACTTAAATATCTGTTAGCTTTTAGTCTTCTAGGCTTTGCATAGAGACATCCCTGTTAGGCTAGGGTTATGAAATAGGGAACTATTCACTTGGCTCTTACCTCTGCCATGAACTGAGGTCATGGTCTTTGTCTAGTGCCCTGGCGGGTATTTTGCTCCCACTTTCTGTGAGCAAATTAGAAGACATTGGCTTTTAACCTGTCATTTAGCCAGCAAAGGGACGTGGTGGCGCTGTGGGTTAAACCGCATAAGCCTCTGTGCTGCAAGGTCGGAAGACCAGCTGTCGCAAGATAGAATCCATGCGACAGAGGGAGCCCCCGTCGCTTTGTCCAGCTCCTGCCAACTTAGCCGTTCTAAAGCATGTTAAAATGCGAGTAGATAAATAGGGACCACTACGGTGGGAAGGTCACGGTGTTCCGTGTTTAGTTGCGCTGACCACGGAAACTGTCTATAAACACTGGCTCTATGGCTTGGAGACGGGGATGAGCACCACGCCCTAGAGCCGGACACGACTGGACTCAATGTCAAGGGGAACCTTTACCTTAGCTAAGTCACTAGCGACACACTCAAAAGACACACACCTAACATGCTGGTACACAAGGAGGTTAGTCCTTAAGAGAAAGGAGAGCATTATAAGTTTGTGTAATCATGTCATATGACCTTTTCCTGCTTGTTCTAAAATACCCAATTGGTGGCTTTTCTCCTCCTGTAGATACCAGAACTCTGAACTATTTTAAATAGTGTTTCTAGCATGTTGCTGATGGATACTACAGCAGTAATGCCTGTATCTGCTCTGCAGGATATGGGGGTAGTCTTCCACAGACACTTGGTCAGCCAGCAATGCTTTGGGGTGTGTTGGCTGAATGATGAATGTAGAATAATGGTTGTTGTGGGTTTTTCGGGGTCTTTGGCCGTGTTCTGAAGGTGGTTCTTCCTAACGTTTCGCCAGTCTCTGTGGCCGGCATCTTCAGAGGACAAAGACTGGCGAAACGTTAGGAAGAACAACCTTCAGAACACGGCCAAAGAGCCTGAAAAAACCACGACAACCATTAGATCCCGGTCGTGAAAGCCTTTGCAAATAAAATGTAGAATAACATAAGAAAGTTCCTGTGCACCACATATTAAGTGAAACGGCTTCCACTCTTGTCTGTTGGCAGTCAAAGCCTAGCCTTGGCATACTGAAGTGAGCTGGGCAAATTCTGTTTGGCTTGGCACCTGTTAACAGCTGTTTTGCTTTTCTCCAAAAGACACCAGGTTTCATTGAAGTGTTCATATATCAGTTTTTCATATCTTACTTATAACTACCTTGAATTCTCTGAAGTCTGTCTGATCTTAACCTGTGCTTGAAATTTGAACAAAGACCACAAAACAGCTACGGTATCTGCTAGTGTATTTCATTTGACTTGATTAACAGCCATAATTTTTATATTGTATAAATGGTCCCCTCATGAAATTCACTGCTATTAAGTCAGGCTTAAACCCGGTAATTTCAGTGAATAGGATGAACTTTACTTTCCATCACTCTTTCCACAGCAACAAATCTAGCTCCACACTTAAAGCCTTTCTCAGTAAGAGACTTCCCCCTCCCCATGTATATCCGAAACCCTGGTATGTATTAAAGTAAACCATTAGTAAGACATTGTCCCTTTAGCTGGTGCCAGAAGTTGTACAGGCTGGGAAAAAAATCTCCTTTGCCTTGGTTTGAGACAGAGAAGGTTTACTACAGAAATCCTAGGATCTTAGTTGACATCTGTTGCTTCCTTTGAAGGGTTGATCTTTGTGGTCGATAGCAATGACAGAGAGAGAGTCAATGAGGCCCGAGAAGAACTTATGAGAATGTTGGCAGAAGATGAGCTTAGAGACGCCGTCCTCTTAGTATTTGCTAACAAGCAGGTAAGTGGGAGCGACGGATAGCGCAGCCGCTGCACAAACACACGTGCAGATGGAGAAGGAGTGCCTTTTGCCTTCCTCAACTGGGCCAGTTGGGAGGACAAACCGCAGCTCTTCTCCCCATTTACTTTGCATGTCCGGTGACTTGGAAATTGTATTTTTCCCTTCTTTTTTAAGAAGCAAAGCTGAGTGGCACTGTTTCAGGATAGGCTATGTCTCGTGTGATGAAGCTGTCTTAAAGAAGCACTCAGGGCCTCTCTGAGAATTGGAACCTCGTGAGAAAAGTGCTTTTATTCTCTCTTCTGTCAAGTAGTTAGTTGGGAAGCCCAGTGTGGGGGTGACAGGACAGGTCTTATTCCTTGCAGGCCAGATAATGGCCAGAAAAACCGCCCAGAGTAGACCTTTGGTCTAGATGGGTGGGATAGAAATCCAGTAAATAAATAGAATAAATGGCTAAAATCCTGTTACCTAGTGCAGTTAGTTGCACTAGGGTAGGCTTACTAAATCAATGAGGATTTTGGTGAGTTGGCTCCATATGTTCCATAGATTTTAGTGGGCCTACTATAATTGGAATAAATGGCTAAAATCCTGTTACCTAATGCAGTTAGTTGCACTATGGTAGGCTTACTGAATCAATGCGGATTTTGGTGAGTTGGCTCCATAGATTTTAGTGGGCCTACTATAATTGTGACCGACCAATTCTTATTATTTTGCATCTAGAGTAGGCCCTTCTGTGGGAAGCCCCTGGGGGTTATGACCCCTTGTCCTCTCCCTTAAGGAGGAAGAAGGGGAGGGGGACCAGCTCTCCCCCCCTCTCTGTCTCTCTGTTCTAATCTGTGAGTGAATGACAGCCTGCAGTAATCGGGAGGGAGAAGGACAGGTCTCACGGCATGTAAGACAGCTTTCAAAATTCATCTCCTTGTGGTTTTCAGTGACAGTATTTCAGTCCTCCCCCACTGCTCCTAAGTCCTCTCAAGGGCAACGAGGCTACATGGATTTCATGTACGCTCCCCAATATGTCCTTTTGGAAGGCTCTGGATCGGTTTTGCCTAGATCGGATAGGTTTTTGAGTATAGTTGGGGCATATTTTGTTATATAGGGTTGGGCAGGCTGGCTGGTATCACCTGCAACTTCTTTTACTTGGAGGGCTGTTTGGAAGCCTCCCTGTTCTCTCTCTCCACCCCCACCCCTTTTTGGAGGGGTCTGAAATGTGCAGGTCAGGGAAAAATGGAAAATGTCCTATTAGGAAGATGTTAGACTATGTAAGGTGGGTCTCCTGTTCTTCTCTAAATAAAAGAGGGGGGAAATGACTGTATTTTCTAAAGCAAGCTATTTCCGTTTTCAGGACCTGCCGAATGCCATGAATGCAGCGGAAATCACAGACAAACTAGGACTGCATTCTCTTCGCCACAGGAACTGGTACATCCAGGCCACCTGTGCCACTAGCGGAGACGGTCTCTATGAAGGACTGGACTGGTTGTCCAATCAGCTCCGAAACCAGAAATGAAGCCCAGAATTATTCCTCTTTCCCCCTCTTTTCTCCACCCTTCCTTATATCCTCCTCTTCCTCCTCCTCCTCCTCCTCTTCCACTACCCTTCGCTTTACTCTAACGTGGCAAACCATGCTACTTTGTGGTATTGAGTGCCGGAAGCTGTTTTCATTTTCTCTCGTCACAGGATGTCCTTCACCATGCTGTACATGTGGCAGATCCAAGCCTGAAAACAGTTTAGGTTTCTTATTTAATGTAAATAGTTCTTGTTTCCAATGAGACAGTTTCTGGTACTCCTATGCAATATTACTCAGCTTTTTTTATGACGAAGAAAGTCAACTCGCTGTTTAGTACTGGGAAAGGGATTTAAAAGGAGTTCTGTGGAGAGTCGCCAGGAACCTGGTTATACGCTAGAGCTGAATAGACAGATGCCTCTCGGCTTTCCAGGTCTGCGTGGAGGCCGCGGTCGGTGGCTATTTTTTAGCCTGGAGAGGTCCGTTTCTTTAACAGATAAAAAAAAAAAGGAAAGCTGAAACACTTGAACAAAATGTCCATTGTAAGTTTTGTAACAACTTAAAATACCAGCAGTTTAACCTATTAATTGATCCGAGAATGCGCCGCATTCTGGATCTTTCTGTGCTTGAGAACCTTTTTGTGTTTTTATGTCAACGAGAGACCCTTGTATAGTCAGCGTTAGTTCAGTCTAGGCCTCCGGCTTAAAAGTACAGGTGGCACACATGCCAGACACGGTAGGTAGCCCTCTAGCTCTCAGATTCGGACGAGGACGGTTGCCTCCTCTCGCCTCTAATTTGGGCGCCATCTTCCTTCGTTCTCTTTGGCGGTTTTGTTCCCCCTGCCCCCCCCCAAGTGTTTTGGACTTTTCTCATGTAGAACTACTCCAGAAAGCAAGTTCTTTCCACAGAGCACAGCAGCCCGTAAACAGTTTCAGCTCTTAGCATCAGCAAGTACTGTATTTTAAGTAGGAAATGCCATCGAAGCCATCAAACGTAGCGTCTAGGGGAAAAAAAATATAAAAGCATGAGAGTTTGGAGTTCCATTCCATCCTAGAAGTGTTCGATGCCATGTTTGGAACAATCCCACATCTGTATATGTGTGAAAACCTTTCACATCCCTCATACTGCAAGGTTCAGATTTGCCATCAAGAAAGACCTCTTAACTTTTTTTTTCTTTTGTATTTTGATAAAACACTGAAGAAGCTGGAGATGTTTAAACTTTAACTTGAGGAACTATCGGAACTGGTTTGTTTAGTGTTGTGGAAAAAAAATCTCTTTATTTGCTTTCAAATACACGGTAATCAACTGTTTTGTATACTTGTTTTCAGTTTTCATTTCGACAAACAAGCACTGTAATTAAAGCTATTAGAATAAAAATCTCTTAACTATTCCTTGAGAGTTTTCATGTGTTGCCTGTTCCATCACGCTCGACTCAAATCACCGAGTGTTTGCGTTTGTCACTTCCTCCTTTTGAGTCCCTACCTGGACTAGATGGTATTTCTGCTTCATGTTCAGGCGAGTCACCCGTATCCCGCATGATAAAAGTTGACCCAAGTAAAACATTTATTTCTCTTACCGTCTTATCAATACAAAATCATGTTGGCCCAGACGTGTGAAGGTGGATCTATGTGCCAGCATTATGGTTTCTTTGTTTTGATTCAACTGGCAGGGCAGAGTGAGTTGCTGCACTAGTCAGAAAGTGTTCAGTGCACCAGAACGGTTGAAAATAACATCAGGTACAGTGCAGGAGAGTTTTAAGGCCCTAAACGTTGACTCTTATATTCACACAGAGTTAAGAATTCTGGAGGCCATTTTATTCTGTAAGAATGAGCAGGTGTCTGCCCATTGAGGAGAAGCTCTTGGTTTAACTGTATTCAGTCTATGTGATTAACAGCCTCTCTCTTCTACCCTCATCCCCTCCTGTGTAGTGGTTGGTTTAGCTCAGTGGTTCCTGACCTTTGGGTCACCCAGGTGTTCTGGGACTGCAACTCCCACTGTGGCCCATACAGTGGGTGGTGAGGGCTTCTGGGAATTGCAGTCCAAGAATGCCTTGGTTAACCAAGGTTTCTTTTACTGAGTCAGTCCATCTTCTGTTTGGTCTTCCTGTTTGCTGACTGCCTTCCTTTTTTCCTACATTATTTTCCAATGAGTCTTGTCTTCTCATTTGTCCAAAGAACAATAGCCTCAACTTAAGTCATGTTAGCTCTTAAAAACAGTTTGGGCTGGACCAAACCTAACACCATATTTGACTTTCTGTTGGCCCATCTTGTCCACAAAGCTTTCCTCCGCATTTCAAATAAACCAATGTTTTGAAATACTGCAGTTTTATTATTTCCTTAAATAGTGAGCATGCCCCAGCAACTCTCAGCCCTACGGCCACCCTATTTACTCAGTCACACAGGGTTGAAACAGGCAGGTTGTGCCTTGAAGTTACCTGTAATCAAGTGTCTTCCGATCAATCTTCAATCGAGTGCGCTGGACTGGCCAATCGCCATCTCTGTCTTCACTCTTAGAACAGACACCTCAGTGATTTAGGCCTCTGGCTGTGGAGGTTGGGAGTTCGAATCCACAGTGCCGCCTTGACGGGCTGGACTCGGCGATCCATAAGAGTCCCTTCCAACTCGGCAGTTCTAAGATGAGGAGGAGGAGGAGGATCTATGTAGTGACTGGGAGAAAGAAGTGCAGAACACATGGGACAATTTGTAGCCATGCACCCAGCATCATACCAGTATTTCAAGGTGTATCTGATTCTGTTGCACAGCACACATGCAATGTGTGAACTGGGATTCAAAAAGACCCTATGGGAGAGCATTCCCACCCCAGATCAGTGTCTGGAGAGCTTTGGACAACAAGATCAGCAATAAGCAGTACAACCCCTTGCCTGTTAGCTGGAGACCATGGAATGGCAAGATGAGCTCACACTGAAGAATGTGGCTGTACCCCCTCCGTGCTACAACATTTCTAGCAAACCAAAAAGTCAGTGACCTTTGCCGGTCTGGAGCCGTCTTCTCAGCAATGTATTGGATGGAGGCTGAATGTTGACATTTAGCTTCCTAACTGGACCAGAAACAATTGGGTTTTCAAAGAAGAAGATAGGAGAGCACTTTTCAAACCCTTGAAAGATAGTCCTACAGAGGAGGGGCATGATCTGTTCTGGATCCTCCCAGAGGGCAGGAAGCGAAATCATGGGTTCAAGCGACAGGAAGCTAGATTTCAGCTGAATATCAGGGGCAGGAAGCGAAATCATGGGCTCAAGCGACGGGAAGCCAGATTTCAGCTGAATATCAGGAAAAACATCTTAACTGTTAGAGCAATCAGTATGACAATGGAACCCAGGACCTCAAGAGGTGGTGAGTGGTCCAATGCTGGAAGCCTTCAAGAGAAACAAGACAACCCCCTAGCACAGACCCCTGGGCAAAGTGTGGCCCGAGGGCCACATACGGCCCGCGAGCCGCTCCTGTCCGGCCCACGGACAATTTTGAATATCATAACCATTTATAGCTTTTTGTCTGAAGTTGATCGGTCGCTTATCTTTAACATACCGCAAAAAACCTCTTTAGTATTTGTGAAGATTAACAAGTTTAAAATGAAAACAATCATAATGTCACTGCTTCATTTTATTTTTAAGTTGGCTCGACCCCTGAACACTCTTCAGATTTTTCATGTGCCCCCCATAGAAATTAATTGCCCACCTCTGCCCTAGCAGATACCCTCTGATTTGGTTTCTTGATTTGAGTCGGGGGTTGGACTCGATGGCCTTAAATACCCTCTGATTTGGGTTCTTGATTTGAGTCGGGGGTTGGAATCGATGGCCTTAAGAGGCCCCTTTCGGCTCCATTATTTTATGATTTGCTGGGATCCGAAATGGTGTGGGAAGATCCCACTCCCGAAAAGGTTTCACATTTTTCTTTTTGTCACAAACAGCCAGGTCTACGCAGTGAGACTTCAGAAGGCTTTTTGCCCTCGCCGGGCGCCTTAAAACTCTTGCAGCAAATGCAGGCATGAATTGTATAACATGGAGGGACATGTGTGGGCATCACAACGAGTTGTCAGCCTGAATAACACCACCTGAAAATACACAGAACCACGATGCCTCGAATTATCTTGGAGCAGGAAAGCCACCTACAGGGGCAGAAAGCGATCAAAAGGGGTAATAATCAGGTTTGAATAAGTCATTCTTCATTCGTGTTTCTGAGTGCGCTAGCCTGAGGTTCGCATTTCACTGCCTCTGTTTCCCCCCCCCCCGTATAACCTCCTAAGCAAAAGGATACCCATAAAAAAAACCAGTCCGCTACATTGCCATTTAAAAAACTACACAGAACCAACAGACTAATTTTATTTATTCATTCATTCATTTACTGTTTTTTCCCCCGTGTAACCTCCTAAGCAAAAGGATACCCATTAAAAAAAAAACCCAGCCCACTACATTGCCATTTTAAAAACTACACAGAACCAACAGACTTATTTATTCATTCATTCATTCATTTAAAATATTGTTATCCCGCCATTCTCCTTAAAAAGAACCCAAGGCAGCTGCTTATTGTTCTCAAAAAGAACAATACTTAAAAACTAAAAACAGTACTTTATGCAAATATTTTAAAAGAATGAAACCATTGTTGTCAAAAAGAACAATACAGTACTTAAAAACTAAAAACTGTACTGTATGCAAATATTTTAAAAGAATGAAACCATTACGTCGCTCTGCTAGTCTTTCAAGGTGACACAATATTTTGTCTTCTCTCCATCCACTTTTCTCCCTTTCTTCCCTTAAATACAGAAACCAGGAAACCTCCACCAGCTGCTGATCCTTTTCTAGGCACAATTCGAAGTGCTGGTTTTAGTTTGTAAAGCCCTAAACAACTTAGGTCCGGGCTATCTCCCTACCCAGGAATTAAGACCACCAGGAGAGGCCTTTCTCTTGGTCCCACCGCCTTCATAGGCACGCCTGGTGGGGACATGGGAGAGGAGAGCCTTCTCTGTGGCTGCCCCTTTAGTGTGTGGAACTCCCTCCCACTGGAGGCCAGCCTCGCCCCGCCTTTGCAGTCCTTCCGCAAGCAGGCAAATACTGTAGACCTTTCGCTTAAGGCAAAGCTTTTCCCTCTGTGACTGACTCAGTGGCCACTTCGCCATGATGGCTTTGTGGTGCCTTAGGGCGAGAGGCTGCATCTCCGAATTTAGGGAATAACCACGCGAAAGATGCGATTGCCTTCATTGCTTTGACTGCTGGGCTATAAGACCATTCTAGGCGGCTCAGAGGGTCCTCGTGTGCTTGCCTGTGGTGGATGATGCCCTCTGAGCTGAGGCAGGAGGTAGAGGGTGGGCTTGGACCAATAAGCGGACTCAACTAAATCCCTTCATGATCTGTGGTCTTAAAATACTTTGTACCCCATCGCTGGCTGGGAGGAGTGCTGCGCATCAAGCAGGAGACGATGGTGTTAAATGCATGGGAGCAGGAGTCAAGAAATGCATTGGCAAAACTGTGCAGGATTGCCAATAGCCACGCTGGACCGATGTCCTTAAATACCTCGTAGATTTCTGCCGCAGCAAGCGGACTGTTCTCTATAAAGAGCAGGCATCTCCCATAACCTTCAGAGAGAGGAGCCCCCAACCTTCTGTGGCCAATCCATCCTGCGCAGAAGAAATTCAAAAGAGCCAACTTTATAGGTTGCATTATTTATGTAATACTGTTTTATACAGTATATATTTATTGTTCTGTTTTATGTTGTTAGCTGCCTAGAGTGGTCTTAACCGGCTAGATAGGCGGGGTATAAATAAAATAAATAAAAATAAATAATAAAATCCCTCCAGGTGCCTTAACCCACTGAACTGCTGATGATACCTGGAGGGGTGGGGTGGGGGTGGGGCAGTCACATGACTTTCGCCCAGTCATGATGTACGATCACAGGTTAACCCCCAAATCATGACCTGCTGCAACCCAAGGAGAGGAAAGGAAATGAAGATAATTAGGGGTTGTCGGGATCAGGGAGACAGACCGAATTAAGCCATCCGGCTGACATTCGGAGAAGGATGAGGCCAGGAGGAGACTCTGGCCTTGGGCTAGCGGAGCCCCCTGTTATCGAGATCCTAAAAAGAGTCACACCCACCCACCCCCTTCCCGCCTTGGGACAGAGATTTAAAGGAACCGGCCAGCAAGCACCGGACGGCGTTGCTTCTCCAGCCCTCCAAGCCTCGGCTTGCTGACCTTACCTCGCTTTCTGAAGCTTCCTGATCTGATTTTCAGTTCGCTCCTGGCTGCAGCGGTTCAACGGTGCGGTTTGCACCTAAATCGTATTCATTGGGTGGTACAAAGAGGGGTCTGTTCCAAGTCAGCTTCCAAACCTCAGGACCGGGATACCCAGACAGCCTCAGACACCCCAAAGAGGAATGAATGAACTGCCCCCCCCCACCAAGATAATAGGGTATTCCAAAGCAAACGGCGTGGACTCTGCACTGCAACATTTTGTTGCAACATACATAAGCGCAGATCCTGCTGATGCGTGGAGGATCATCCTCTTGGAACTGCAGAGCTGGAAGGGACCCGATGGGCCACGGAGTCCAGCCTTCTGCCAAGGAGGCCCCGTGGGGACTGTACGTGTGATATTTGCTGAGACTCTCTGAAACATAACGCCGGCCATGAAGAGAAAAATCCCAGGACTATTATATATATTTTATGACTGATTTATGGACAAGCTGGCAGGTTGCTTTTCAAGCCAATCCTGCCATTGAGTGGAAGACCCGTCCCTTCTCGTGGCCGTCTCTTACCTGCGCCTTTTATTCCCACAGGCTGGGGAATATTCTGCTAAACTCGGCGGCTGCTTTCAGCAGCTTTTCTATCACCGAGATTCAACAGGATGCCTGTGTGGTGCATATATAGCATGGGAAAGGGAGGGGGGAGCAGCTTCTCCTTGGCCTCAGGCAGCGAAATCTCTTGAGCTGCTCCAGACGGTTCTTTCCTGTTCAAGTGATGAAAAGTCCTCAGATGCACTCCTAGCCTTGACTCATCATCTGCCCCCAAAGTCAAAAGCCCCATGCTCCTGGCACGGCCAGGTTTTCTTTCAAACCTTCCTCGCCCCACCTGAAACACGGGCGAAGACCTCTCCGAAAGGTGGGCCTGCCCCAAAACCATCACTCACTGCAGGCAAAAAAGAGTGATGGGGACTTTCCGCCCTTCTGGGCCCTGGTCTTTGTTGCAACAGAGCCCTGTCGCCTGGACGCTTCCTGACCTTTGGGCCGTGTGGATGCTTTGTGCATGATTTACGCCCTGACCAAAGTTCTCGTGTTGTGTTGTGCCTGCCTGCGCACGTGTATGTGTTTAAAATGAAGTCCTCCCCACTGGTTGTCCAGCTCCTGACGGAGATCAGAATGTTTTGGGTCAAGATCAGTCGGGGCCAGAATGAAATAAAACCGCTTCGTAGCTCCGGTTCCCATCCTGTCCCAAAAGCCACCCAATTGGGCATGCTTGCTTTAGACAAGAGTAGTCCATGGCAGATTGACTACTGGCAAATAGAAGGGGAAGAGATGGAGGCAGTGACAGATTTTACTTTCTTGGGCTCCATGGTCACTGCAGCTGGAGACAGCAGCCACGAAATTAAAAGACGCATATTTCTTTGGAGAGTGACGACAAACCTAGACAGCATCTTAAAAAGCAGAGACATCACCTTGCTGATAAAAGTCTGTATAGTCAATGTTATGGTTTTTCCAGGAGCGATGTATGGAAGCGAGAGCTGGACCCTAAAGAAAGCTGACCACCGAAGAATTGATGCTTTTGAATTGTGGTGCTGGAGGAGGCTCTTGAGAGTCCCCTGGACTGCAAGGAGAACAAACCTGTCCATTCGGAAGGAAATCAACCCTGAGTACTCCCTGGAAGGACAGACCCTGAAGCTGAGGCTCCAATCCTTTGGCCATCTCATGAGAAGACTCCCTGGAAAAGACTCTTTTGTGAGTTCTTCCTGACCCCAAGAGTTGAGGCTGAGGAATAAGCAAAGGAAGCCATTCTCTACCGCAGGCCATCCATTTTGAAGTACAGTGGTGCCTCGCTTTACGACTGTCCTGCATTACGACGAATCCGCTTTACGACGATCTTTTGTGATCTCAATTGCGATTGCAAAACGATGGTCTAAATGGGGGAATTTCGCTTTGCGATGATCGGTTCCCAGGTTTGGGAACCGATTCTTCGTAAAACGATGTTTTTTAAACAACTGATTGGCGGTTTCAAAATGGTCACCAGGTAATTAAATGTGTTTAGGGATGGATTCTTCGCTATACAGGCAGCAGAAATGGCCGCCATATGGAGGATCTTCGCTGGATGGTGATTTTTTACCCCATTGGAACGCACTGAACGGGTTTCAAAGGGCTTTTTATTTTCACTTTCCGATGTTTTCGCTTAACGGCAATTTTCCTGGAACAGATTATTGTTGTTAAGTGAGGCACCACTGTACCCTCTCCCCCCAGCCAAAGAAAATCAACTTCATTCAGTCCCTGTTGAACACTAGCAAGCAGCCAAAATTGTATTGACCCAAAACACCTCTGATTTTGAAGTAACCCTTCAATGTAAATGTCATTACCTGTAACTAAATTAGTCCGGATGTCAATGAACAAAGCAACGAACAGTTGAAAGCAAAGTAACGCCACAAGCTGTCCCAAATTACTTTTTTGGAGGTCGCAAGGAAGATTTTATCCTGACATGCCAAAGTTCCTTTTAAGGGCATTTTAAGATACTTGCACCTTTGTGAGACTCTTTCCAGTTTTGTGCCATTCTCTTGACTACTCTTAAGTCGCAAGGGGAGCATTCTGTCTTTTGCACATTTTTCAGGTACAGTATCAGAATTGGCCACTAGGGGGAACCAGAGACTATTTTTGCTGTATTTTTCACCATTGGCAGTAATTAATTAACTGTGTGCCGTCAATCCTGACTTAGGGTGGCCCTTTCTAAGGTTTTCCAGGTAAAGATGACCCAGAAGTGGTTTCGCATGCCCTTCTTCTGGGGGCAACCCTGGGAGTGTGCAGTTTGCTCAAGACCACCCAGTGGCGAATCAAACTCCCAGCCTCTGGCTCCACAGCCAGAGACCTAAGCCACTAAGCTATCCAGCCATACAGCTCTCAATAAACACAAATCGGAGGTATACATACATACATACACACACAAACGGGCTGGAGAAAGCAAACCAGGAACACTTCATAAAGTCAAACAAGATTTGAAAAAGGTGGAAGCAAACCTTTAAGTTTTCAAAACCTTTTTTTTCTTTTTCTTTGGAAAAAAAAAGAGAGACTTTTTTGTTTCCAGTTTACAATCCTGCACAACATTGTAATACGGACTGAAAAATATTAAAAAATAGAAATGCCAATCACAATACGCAACAGCAAACGCCAGTTAACACCACTCACACAAGTTAGAAGAAGACGCAACTTCTTCACTCTGGCATGAAACTTGGGAGGGCTGGTGATAAGTGGGGTCCCCTGCATAGTATGTTAGAGGGTGCCTGTGTAATGGGTCTGAATAAGGGTCTCTTAAAAGTGTCCTTTCTCTATAGGTTAAGGAGACAGTACCTTCTGACTTGCTAGGGGTAGCTGAGTTAGAGTACCAAAGCAAAACCAAACACTGTCCCTCCATGTTATGGTGAGATTGACTGAGGTCTTGGGGGTACAGTGGACCCTCTACTTAAGGAATTAATCCGTATTGGAATGGTTGCTGCAAGTCGAAAAGTCTGTAAGTCGAATCTCCATTGACCTACAATGCACTGAAAACCGATTAATCCCATAACCAGTGGTTTTTATTCTATTTTTATTCCATTTTGGTTTTTTTCTGGTCTGTAAGTCGATTCTCTGGCTGCAAGTCGAATCTAAATTTTGCAGCCAGAGAAGTCTGTAACTCGAAAAGTCTGTAAGTCGAGCCGTCTGTAAGTCGAGGGTCCACTGTATTGGTTGGGCCGGAGGCCACATCATTAAATGCCTACATCCTATCTATGTTGCTAGCCAACAATAATAGCTGCTGAGGTTGCCAACTGATGCATCTGGCCACAAACGAGTTAGCCTTCCGAGTTTTTACACATTTAAGATTTTTTTTTCTGACCTTTTGATTTCGGTGTTCCATCTATTCTCTTTATCAATATTAAAACACCCAATGGAAAAGAAAGCATTTTCTGGCAAATATGCTATCGGTCTGTATCTCAAGGAAGGCTGCTCGCGGATCAGGACCTTTGCTGGCCTGAAATTGGTTTGGCTTCCTCAAATCTAAGAGGGAAATGGCTTCAGAGACTTAATAAACCACAGGGATTGGATCTGAGATTATTCCACACACTCCTCCTCTCTGGCATTTGTTTAAAAAAGCATTCAAGCACAACTCGGCATTCTTTTGTTTGAAAAATAGATCGACGCAGCATCTTGTTTTTAACATGAATTTGCTTAGATGGTGTTAAGAGAGCAAAGCTGTTCTACCAGGTCACCCTTCCTTGCTTTCTGAAGCTGGTCTGTATCATCTCAAACACTGCTACAACTTTCTTGGTCCAATTTCTTCCCCAAACTCTGTTCCCACGGGGCATTTGGGGACACGGGCACTCCGGGTCTTCTCCTCCACTCTCGGCACCAACCAAGAGGCGGCAGACCAGAAGCAGCCTCTCCGAAAAGGAACACAGCCGTTCGGAATCCAGCCGGCAAGAGAGTACGGCGATTCGCAGAAAATGGACTGCGCGAAGAGTTCCGATTCTGGCCAGGGCTCAGTCGTCAGAATCCGTGTCGTGCCTCCTCCTGGCTACGCGCGCAGGTGGGGACCGGCTTTGTCTCGGCTTCCGGGCCCCTTGGCTTTTGTCTCTGGGAGGGGAAGCCCGGCTGGCACCCTCTTTGCTGCTTCGGCGTTCCCTCCCTCTGAGCTTGGCCATTTCCTTCGTGCCACCAGGGGAAGCCGAGCTGTTCCTCTGCCGCCTGCTGAGTCTTTTTTCTTCTCCTCGGGCAGGTGATGAATGGCTGTCACGGAGGCTGGCTCCAGCCTGCCGGGAGGATGATGGATGGCGCTCGGAAGGCAAAGGAGCGGGTTGTCTTTTTCTGAAAACACACACACAGAGAAGGCCAGGTCAGCGATTGCCGGGAGAGCAAAGAGCGCGTCAGGGACAGAGCAAGAAAGAGACCCTTTAGCCTGGTTGTCCTTCAAAAGAAGCATCCAGGCATCCCGGGGGCCTCCCCTCTGCCAAACCGCCTGCATTTAAGCCAAGCTTGTGAAAAGTTTCTGGTTTCAGACTTAGCAGTCCCAGTAACCTCCAGCCGGAAGCAGATCTGGGGAACTGCAAAGGCCTATGAAAACGCTCTTCACACTAAAAAAGGAGGATTTCTTTTGGCCGTGGACCACATGAAATCCAGGGGGGCTGCACAGAGCTTTTAAAAACGCACACATCGAGAGGCAGATAAGAAGTGTGGAAAAACAACACGTTTTTGCTCCCAGAAATCTAGGAAGGGCAATTTTTATTTCAAAATGGACGGCAGCTCCATCAGCCAAAAAAATAAAAACAAACAAACAAAACCACACTTAATTTAAAGACAAAACAGAAGGGGATTTCCAGAAACAGAATCAGGTTATGCTTTATATTTTCTTTCATTTTGCATTTTTTTGGGGGGGGTTTAAAGGTAAAAGGTTCCCCGTGACCTTTAGTCCAATTGTGTCCAGCTCTAGGGCGCGGTGCTCACCTCTGTTTCCAAGCCGTAGAGTGAGCGTTTTGTACGAAGACAGTTTCCATGGTCACGTGGCCAGTGTGACTAGACATGGAACACCATCAAGATGGTGGTACCTATTTATCTACTCGCATTTTTACATCCTTTCAAACTGCTAGGTTGGCAGGAGCTGGGACAAGCGACGGGCGCTCCCTCCGTCGTGTGGATTCGATCTTACGATGCTGATCTTCCGACCTTGCAGCACAGAGGCTTCTGCAGTTTAACCCGCAGTGCCACCACGTCCCACTATTTATCTAGGACAACCTCAAATGTAACTTGATGTCATTGTAATCAGCACAAATGTCCCTTTTTTGGGGGGAGGGGGGAGGATAGCCTAAAGTGCATCATCATACAGGCCAGAAGAGGACACGGGTCCTGGAGACGCCTAGCTTCCACCCATGACGCTTACTTTCTAGGCTGACACCATGGCCAGAGTCCTACTCACACCAGTGAAAATAGAACAGAGGAAACGGCACCAACGGACGGCTACTAGTGCACAAGGTGCCCCTTCCGTTCCTTGTCATGTGACCATCGCGTGAATCCGGTGTACCAGATCACGCATCAACGTGTAACGATTCACTACTGCCCTTTGCACCATGGCATTTACACCGGTGGAGCTAACCCATTAGACCCAAGCCCCAAAAGACACAGGTATGGAAGAGAGACAGCCCGATCAGCGACGGCCATCATCCTACCTCGCCCGGTCGTCTGAGGAAGAGGAGGAGGAAGAGGGAGAGCCTCTTTTTCTCTGCCGTTTCTCTTTCTCTGTTTTCTTTTCCTTCTTGTGCTTTTTCTTTTTCTTCTTCTTCTTCTCTTTCTTTTTGGATTTCTTGCTGACGCTCTCTGGCCTGGATAGTTAGAACGTAATAGGTACAGTCCCCCCCTCTCTCTCTGTAAAGACCCCTTCACACCCCCTGAGCGCCTACCAGGAAAACTGCCTAACTGAGAGAAGTACAACGGAACCCATGATCTCAGGAGGGGGTGAGCGCTCCAACCCTGGCGGAGTTCAAGAGCACTTAAGACCACCCCCTGGCAGATGTCCTTTGATTGGTATTCCTGCCTCGAGCAGGGGGTTGGACTGGATGGCCTTAGAGGCCCCCTTCCAACTCAGTTATTTTATGATTCTATGACTCACAAAATGAAGCAGCATCCTCACAAACCTGTCGACAAGCCTACGGTACAATCACAAGACCGGGCTTTCAAAAGGACGCAAGAAGAGCGAAAGCTGGAAGTGCTTGTTTGTAGTAGCAACTATGGGGAAAACTCCTCGCACATGGAAAGCTAGTGTGTCAGGAGGAAGATCTAGAGCAGGGAAAACCAAAAAACCTCCAGGGTGGCTCATGCCTGACCCTGGATCTTGGCGGACCACACCAGGCTCCCCAAAGCACCCCAAAAACATTCCTATAAAACTGAGATTTTAAGAGTGATGGCTTCTAGAGACCAAAAATACACGTTTGCTTGTTTTTAATGGAGCTGGACTCTAGGAGAAAGAGTCCCTCTGGCTACCCAATCTGCTTTCTAAACTCTCTTCCATCCTTCCTGAGATGCTCCCCTGCCCATATCAGCCTCCACTCTGAATCCAAGTCTCCTCCCAAAACTGCAGCCCTCTCCCCCCCCAATGGCCCCCCAAGATCAAAATCAGGAAAGCGCGAGTCGGGTGGCTTCTTACCGCGGTTCTTCCTCTTCCTCCTCTGGTTTTCTTTTCGGGGCCAAAATCTCTGGACCACTTGCTGTTCGAAGATGCTAAGGAAAACGAAGAAGGGATACGGCCAGCTCTCAAACATGGCTCATTAGAAGAGACAAAAGGGTAGCCACTAATCTGACCTTGCCTTCCTGTCTGCAGTCCTCAAAATCTGCCAATATGTGCTAGACAATGACATTACAAGCTATGAGCAGAGAGGTGTGCTGTTTGAGACTCTCTCATGGAGGAAATTCTCTCAGTGCACTAAGCCAGGGTCAGGGTGATGTGTTTACAGTGGTGCCTCGCTTAACGACGTTAATTCATTCCAGCAAAATCGCTATAGAATGAAAACGTTGTAAAGCAAAAATAAAAAAAACCATTGAAACGCATTAAAACCCGGTTAATGTGTTCCAATGGGCTAAAAACTCACCGTCCAGCAAAGATCCTTCATACGGCGGCCATTTTCGGTGCCATAGCGAGGAATCCATCCCTAAGCACATCAGGGAGCCATTTTGAAAACCCGACGATCAGCTATTTTGATCATCGTAATGCAAAGAATTGGTTCCCGAAACAGGGAACCAATCATCGCACAGAGAAATTCCCTCATTTAAAACATCATTTTGCAATCGGAATTGCAATTGCAAAAACATCGTCATGAAGCGGATTCGTCGTAATGCGGGGTAATCGTTAAGCGAGGCATGACTGTAGTTTCTTTTCCAGAGCACCAGGAACATTCTTTTTTCCTACATAAGTGTACATCTACATGGAAGGTTTCAGAATGAATTCGTGCCAGTTCGCTGGATGGCCGAACAGGTGTTTGGTGGCACTTGCCAGCCCTGCCTTTTCTGGCAGACAACCTCTCTGAGGCAGCCTCCCGCCCTGCCTCCTCCAGCATCCTCTCTGAGTGGGCCCCTGCCAGAGGAGGCAGGGAACGAGAAGTGCCGAACGCCGGCACAGCCAAGAAACAAACCGGTAGAAAGCACCCGTTTGTGCCCACCTCTGTTCAGAATGCCATCACTTTCCTGCTGAAAATTTTTAAGCAGGTAGCAAAATTTTTTTGTTTGCTTTTGTTTCAAAGCCAATCTTTCAATTAAAATAAAACAGGAAAAAAAAACTTCATGCGAGAAGTCAGCTTTGGCACTCACAATTTTGGACACAATTATTTGGTCAATCAAACTGTCGTAAATTTACTGTGGCAACCCTACAAGACACAAAACGGAACTTGGAACAATTTCCTTGGTTTTTTTTTGGGGGGGGGAGTGTTTCAACTCCTCAAATCCTCCGGCTAGCATGGCCACCACTTCTGGTAGCTCTGTTTCTAAGGACAGAGGGCAACGTGGCCTTTATTCCTAGGTGGCTACCAGATGTGGGAGCTTCGGAAGCTCACGGCAGGTAAGGAAACACACCACTGGATGTGCACGCTGCAGGGAGCCCAGTGAGTGGACGAGACCGGTTCTGGAGGGGTGGGAATGGGCCACTGTGGCACTTGCAGTGCTGAGCTTCGTATTCGTATCCCCCAGGATACGAAGATGAAGCTCACATATCTAGTGGCTACTTAAAGATGCCGATTTACGTGCTTACAGTCACCCCAAAGCCACGATTCCAAAACTCAGAAAGACTGGTTTCTGGAGGTTCCTGAAGCAACCAGACCACGTTGTCTGGTGGATTCCGGGTGGATTCAGTGCAAAAGCAACAAGATTTTGCTAAGGTCTGCCCTATAGGATTTTGTGGCTCACACATAACTTTCATATTCTGTGTTTCTGGATTCTGATGTGGGACTTTTTTTTTTTTTGACCCAATGACAAAACCAGTTTTAGGAGGGGGCGGGAAACAGAACAGAGAAGTGCAGAACGGGAAAACATTCAGCGATTTCAGAGACGGCCACCCTCGTCTCACTTCCATGAACTGAGACGGGGAAGCGGAAGGGAGATGTGACAAAAATCAACCACTCACCGTGAAGACGGAAAGGCCCAGTTTCGCTGCTTCTTTGTCTTCTTTGGAAAACATCATCCTGCCACCAGCGCTTCTGGAAAGACATTTTATTGAAATTAAGGGACCTCAGTACCCAGATCACGATGGCCCTTCATTGGGGTTGAAGTGCGATCTCCAGAGACAAAGCTTAATGTCATTTCTATTTAATTTTTTTGAACAGAGCAGAGTTCTGGCTCCCGGGATCCAACATAAAGGATTTTTAAACAAGCCCAAACTCCAGCGAGCTTCTGTTTGCCGAATCCTAATGAAGACAGAATTCTATTAGCACCTTAGAAGATTTTTGGTATGGTTAAGGGATGTGGTGGCGCTGCGGTTAAACCACAGAAGCCTCTGGGCTGCAAGGTCGGAAGACCAGCCGTTTACCAGTTAACCATTTACCAGCTAACTGGATCGGACTCAGGTTGTGAGCAGAGTCTTGACTGCAGTACTGCAGCTGAACCACCACACTGCAGGAGGCTCTTACTAAAGTATGGAGAAGGAGAGTCATATATACTGCCTTGAGCACATAGGATGAAAACCAGGATACGTTTGAAATGAATCATGAGCAAATGCACGTCAGGTAAGGAAACAAAGACCTGACATCTGTAGCACAGCTGAGCAATGCACATGGCACTATTCTGCAAAAAGACACCTGGAGGGAAGCAGAGAGAGTAGGGTAGCAAGAGGTGGACACAGAAAGAATTTCTTACAGGCATCCTCTTAGGGTGTTATCTCTCTCTCCCCCCCCCACTCTTGAGAGAAGAACCTGGACAATCAGGCCAAGTACCTCGAGCTCCCGAGCCCCATCACACGATCCACGCTCTTCTCGTCCCGTTCTGCTGAATCGCGCTTGCAGACTTCGGCAAGGTCCTTAAGGGCAGAAAAACAACACAAAATGAAACAGGCCTGTAAAATCATGGGAGTGATTACAGTGGCGCCTCGCTAGACAGTTACCCCGCATGACAGTTTTTTCGCTAGCCACTGACTTTTTGCGATCGCTATAGCGATTCGCAAAAGAGTGATTCCTATGGGGGAATTTCGCTGGACAATGTTTGGTCCCTGCTTCGCAAACCGATTTTTGCTAGACAGCGATTTTGACAGCTCCCTCCACTCTTGCAAAACGGGTGTTTTCGGGACCTAAGCTTCGCAAGACAGCGATTTAAACAGCTGATCGACAGTTTGCAAAGCGGCTTTCCTATGGCCGACCTTCGCTAGACAACGATGATTCTTCCCCATTGGAATGCATTAAACAGGTTTCAATGCAGTCCAATGGGGAAATGCTTTTCGCTAGACAATGATTTCGCTAAACAGCAATTTCAGTGGAACGGATTATCATCCTCTAGTGAGGCACCACTGTACATTTATGAGCCATAGCATCTTCTCCTTCTTTAAGACTTCCTGTGTTCCATTCGACCTCCCCATGTCAACCATCGGCCCCAAGCTTGACATGAAACCGGATCAAGGGGATGGCTTTGCTAAATATGGATCTGACCACACCAATTCTACCTCAGAGGGAAACAAAAAAGACATGAGGAGGCCTCCTCATGGCACCTTTTACTGGCCAAATTAATTATCCAGAGATCCAAGGCTGAGGTCTAATTAATTTGGTTTGTTTGTTTACTTTCTATACCGCCCATCTGAGGGATGGTCCCTCTGAGCCATTGACAACCATGACAATCACAATAGCATTAAAGCATTAAACTATATAATGAAGGTGCCTTAAATTAAACTAAAATAACTAAGTTACAGAACATATTAAAATTGGGTGGCAACTCAATATGAAATTTTAGGAGATGAAGTTGCTTTGGAAGAAAAAGCAGTTGTGGGTTGTTTTTCTTTCGGATTTGGCAAGATAATGTATGTCTTTGTCGTTTGGCTTTGTCAATCGGCTTTGTCGTTCTTGCTAAAGTCTGGGAAATGCCGGAGAGCCTGTTGAAAAACTTCCTGTTCCTTCAGATTGCAGCTCATGAACACTACAATTTTTAAAAAAATATGTTCTTGAAACGTAAATAAGCATACCTCTTTGCTGAGGCCTGTTGGCTGCTTCTTGACATTCTTATAACCTCTGTGAATAATGAAGACAAAGACTTTAAGCCATGGGGTTTGCAAATGTAGATGAAGATTTTTGCTGCCGTGACACCCCCCGCCCCCCGAGAGCTGACATTCAATCAAAGGGTTTTTTTTGTTTTTTTATTTACTGCATTTACATTCTGCCTTTCTGCTTTTAAAAAAAAGGCAGCTACCAAACGTTACTTAGTAAAGGTTCCCCTTGACATTGAGTCCAGTCGTGTCCGACTCTAGGGTGCGGTGCTCCTCCCTGTCTCCAAGCCGTAGAGCCAGTGTTTTTGTCCAAAGACCGTTTCCGTGGTCACGTGGCCAGCGCAACTAGACACACAACGCTGTGACCTTCCCACGGTGATGGTCCCTATTTATCTACTCAGGTTTTTACATGCTTTCGAACGGCTACATTGGCGGGAGCTGGGATGGTGCTCACTCCGTCGCATGGATTCGATCTTACGACTGCAGGTCTTCCGACCTTGCAGCACAGAGGCTTCTGTGGTTTAACCTGCAGCGCCACCCACGTCCCTTCAAGCATTACTTAAGCTGGTGCAAAACACACTGACAATAGATTAAATAGGAAAAGCTTTAGCCCTGCACATTCCAAAGCAATGGAAACCAAACAGAAGTCAGCAATGCCATTTCAAAAGGCTAGGCTGAAAAGATGCAATTTTTTACATTCTCTTGTAAAAAGAGCAGGAAATGATCCTGAGTTTGAAGAAAGGTGCCTTCTGCTCTGGGAGGAACACTGGGCCACGATGTTCTCCGGAAGACTCCTTCAGAAGAACACACAAAGTCTGTCTTGCCAACAGCATCCCAGTGGACTGTGCTCTGGGCATCAGCACACAGGCATAACTTAAAGGGTGAAAGGGAATCAGGAACCACCAGTATTCGAACCCCGGCCAGATATTTGTCTGCTTTATTTTTATAATCAGCAGTACACCTCAGATTCCATGGTGATGGTTCTCAGGGTCATTCGTGCGGGTAGGAAAACCGGCCCACTTGGAGAAGTGTGCGCGTTTCACGGGTGTGCACGTGACCACCGACACCAAACGCAGCCAGAAAGTTGCGACTCCCGGACTTACAAAGCTGCCATCATGGCTTCCTCCTCCGTCCGCCGGATCGCGGCCAGCTCTTCCTCCCGCGAGACAGGGGCGTCCCCTTTCTTCCCCTTGGCGTACCACGTGAGGTCCTTGCCTTTCTGCCACCGGCCCACGGGAGCCATCAGGGAATTCCCTGCAGAGGACGTGGAAAACAGACGCGACGTCAACAGAGAAGCAGGGAGTCCGATGCAAAAAAGAGAGACCGCTTTACGAAAGGGGAAAAAACGGGGAGCCTTGCCGTCGGCGAAATACCAGCAGCTTCCAGCTCCCTGCAAGGTGTGGGTTTGGAGACCAGCAGCCCTCGAGGCCACGTCATCCGAAAGACCACCTCCTTCCAGATAACCCTGTCTGGGATCTGGGAGGGTCAACAGACCGCGGCATGTCCCCCCCCCCCAAAGAGTGAGTATCTGAGTATCTTCAGCCATGGAATGGCTCCATCCGAGCACCGGCGGCCGGCCAAACCTACATTCTTCCCCCCAAAAAAGGCCTCAGGTCATCAAAAGTGAGTTTGGCGCACCTCTGTCGATCTGCTTTTGAACAAAATGTTTAAATCTGGTTTGAAAAAAAATGTTAATCTGTTTATTGCATTGGGAGCCCTGGTGGAGTGAAAAATGAATGAAGTTTAGGAACACGGACGGGAGCTGGTCTTTGGTAGAAGTGTGCAGGTGTGTGTTTAAAAAAATAATCTTTTTTTATAAATGGGGTGATGCTGGGTAATTGTGCCACATTTTAGGGCTTTAGCAACCATCTCTCAGCCTAACTCATTTTTTAATTTTATTTTTAAACAACTGGCCACTAAATGGTGCAAGAGGGTGGGCATACAGAATCACGGCGCTGGAAGGGGCCTCTAAGGCCATCTAGTCTGACCCCCCTGCTCAAGGCAGGAATCGCAAATCAAGGCATATCCGACAGAGGGTTGTCCAATTTTCTCTTGAATGCCTCCAGCACTGGACTGCTCACCATCTTCCCCCTGAGGTCATGGGTTCCAGTGTCATACTGTTCTAACAATTAGGAAGTTTTTCCTAATATTCACCATAAACCTGGCTTCCTGTAGCTTGAGACCATTATGACATATCCTGCCCTCTGGGGTGATGGAGAACAGATTCTGCCCTGTCGAAACCGAAGCAACGATATCTGGACCTCTTAAAGGCGCTCAGGCCTGTTCTAGTCTATTGCTCACTAGGATGAAAACTTTATTCTGCTTTCCGATCATGTGACTGCATGGTACCGAGGAGCTACAATCCCTGAGAAGCGTTCATTAAATGCGATTTGTGTCTGGCACCATTAAATAACTGCAAAACATGTCACGCTGCCTGGATTTCTGCTCTGCTATTCTGCTGCGATTTTTTCACAAGGCACTAAGGACCTTCATCTCTGGATCTCAGGTTTTAATGTTATTACTTCCCTACTGCAGGACAGATCCTAAAGCTGAGGCTCCAATACATTGGCCATCTCGTGAAGGCAGGAGGAGAAGGGGACGACAGAGGATGAGATGGTTGGACAGTTTCATCGGAGCGACGAACATGAATTTGATCCAACTCTGGGAGGCAGTGGAAGACAGGAGGGCCTGCCGTGCTCTGGTCCATGGGGTCACGAAGAGTCGGACACGACTTAACGACTAAACAACAACTTCCCTACGGCAGTTCGAAGAAACAGACAAAACTGAAGGTAAGGCCGAGAGCTAGAATTCCTTAATGGGGCCATCTCAAAAAAGAATCAGATTTTTAAAAAGGAAGAAACATCAGCTCACCCAGGTAGTTTTCCCTTTGTTTATCCGTCTTCACATCTTCCCAGTTGAACTGATCCTGCCCACCTCTCACACCACCCCGAGAGGAGCCAAACATGATGATGAAAAAAGCACCCCGGACTTTATTTTTGAAGTGGTCCTGCTACCGAAGCATCTTCAGCTGTCCATCCTTCTGCATCTGGATCTAGTAAATGAAACAAGAGGCAACAGGTTTATAGATTTCTTACAACATTATGAACCGTCATAATTCCAAGATTCTGTTGAACAGTTTTAAGTTGGTACTTGTTATTATATTTTATTTTTTAAAAACTTCTAAACCGCCCATCAAGGGTCACTCTGGGTACAGCCATAACGAAAATGAACATACAAACAGTATGAACGTATAATTCGCAATTAAACATTAAAATTAAAAACCAAACTGTTTTAAAATCAGGCAGTGGCTGGAGGTGTTGGGTTTCCTATACAGTCTCAATGCGCTGTTATTCTGGATTTGCTTATTCCACATGTATGTGGATGCAGTCACAGAACCCAGGACACTGTAAATTCAAACCTGTAACACCCCTATAATCTGGCCTTATCGCCACCCTAATAAAAATAACAACTTGAACATTTTATATTTTGTCTGTTGACCGTCGAGGCGACTCAGATGAATTCATTAGTTAAAACAGACACCAGCATAAGCATGTTTTTTTTTTTACATGAGCATATAATCAGCACGCACAACAGTGATTCTGAAGGAAACCTTCATCCCATAAAGATCTAGGTCTTAGAGGCCAGCCAACTTTTGCTGCAAAACACAACTGCCTTAGAAATTATTTCTTCAAAGGAAGTACAGTAGGACCACCTTATCTGCAGAATCAGTATCCGCTGATTCATTTATCCAGTCTGAAAACATTTGAAACATTACAAGAAAATATACATATCCAGCAATGAAGTTACCAGAACTGATCATTAGAGGGAGCCAAAGACCATGCTGTATGTATAGCATTTGCTGTACTGGTGTTTGCTAATATCCACGGTTTTCAGCATCTGCACCCCCCCCCCCCGTTTCTCACAGATACAGGGGACCTGCTGTAACAGCAAAGCATCTAAGCACAACCATAAGGTCTTTCCTTTCAGATGTGAACGGTTACAGTGTCTCTGGGCAATTGCAGAGTGCTTTTTCCATCCAATAAGCAGCCGCTGTTTTCTCACCCTTCCAAAGATCCTTTCTGCTTGTGAACTGAGAGCACCTTTCACAGACTGCTCACCAGGATTGGTGCAGGGAAGAAGAACTAAGGAGGAAAACAGGAGTGAAAATGCTCAAGGCACACATGATTCTCGCCTCTGCCTCGCCCAGGACAACCCATCTGACCAAGAAAATAGGATTCTGGCTCCTGGTCAGTCCCTAACGTCCTGCTTTGGGGGGGGGGAAGAGGCATTATTAAAGGCTAATAATCCTAGGAGCAAACTTTCAAGGAGCCCCCCGCCCCAATTTGCAGAGTTGTGCCCGTTTCCTGAACGATTAACAGGTGGATGCCCAAATGCGGGGGGTGGGGGGGGGAAGGATAGCGAGAAGATCAAAAGGGGGGCGAGACTGGGTTCTTGCACTACCACTCCCAGAGTTCTCAGATGGGGATGCTGGGAGTTGTAGTCCAAGAACCCAGACGAGTCAGATCCCGGGGGGGGGAGCCATTGCAATGCTTGCAAAGAGGGGGGGCTCTCAGCCTCATTGCAAAGGGTCTCCTCTCACCGGCGCTTGACCCTGCCAGCAGGGCCCCGATCCTCAAGGATCAGCAAAGCACAAGGCTGGGTTGGGGGGGGGAAGCAGAGGGGGAGCCAAAGAATAAAAAGAAAAAAGCACAACCCTGGAGCAGCCTTTCCCCCCCCCTCTTGAATTCAGCAGGGACTTCCTCCCGAGTAACCCGGCACAGCTTCCTCAGGGAGCGACTTACCGGGGAGTAAAGGCTCTTAGTGGATTTCTTAGTGGATAAGGCCCCCCCCCCCCTCTACGCCCAGCCTGTCTCTCTCGCGCGCATGCGCGCTGCACAACCCCCGGGACCCACTTCCGGCAGGGCGTGGGAGATACCATGGTT